AAGGAACGATTGGCCATCGGTGATCGGTCCTGTGGGAACAATGCTCCGTCCTCTCGAGGACGCGTGGTCAATGGTCTAACCGCTAAGACATGCAAAGCATAAGAGTACGCCCCCCGGCGGCGGGTCAAGGCTCGGTGTGTTGTTAATTTTTCGCTTCCGCGTTTTTGCGCCGATCGCCGTCTGTGATGTTGTCGTTTTTGTGTTTGTCTTTTTGGTTGTTGCGGTGTAGCGTTCGATGGGATCATCTGGTTCCTTTCCTGTTTTGGCGTGATGTGTGCCAGTATGGCAGTATGGCCTGTTGGGGCTGTTGCTGCAGACGAGAGCTCTTCCAAAGACTACGGGCGTTAGATCCAGACTCTGAGATAATTTTGAATTTGATAGAGAGTGAGAACCTCTTGGGGACGCTCCGGGCGGTTTCCCGGGATTTCGACCCGTCTGGATGTTTGGACTGTGGTTCTCTTTTATAATCCATGGGTTGCAAATACTCTAAATACTCGCGCCCGAAAGAGGAAGTGCTCAAACAGTGGAATAGTGGAGTTACGACGGGATTTTTTTTTTTATTGCTGCCCGGGGACAAGTTTTGGCAAAAATCAAAACGCCTTGCGAACCATCACCAAACAATAGGGCCACACTTCGCGCCTCGATTTGGCACTTTGTTGTTGGTAGATATCTCAACCCATAGAGCTTGAACACCAGGTGCCACTTCGAGGGTGCCAGCTGTAGGTGCGAGACACAAGGATTGTTCAATGTGACAGTAGCCGAACCACTGGGGTCAATTGATATCAGGCCCCAAACATCTCTCCACTCTGTCTCGCTATCGTTTTCTCTCTTCTTTTTTTTCCATTCCCCGTGGGGCTGCCACACCCCTTTCGGTATCTCTGGATCGCGGAGCCCCTGGAGAAGATCCTCTTTCTTGGTATTAGACTAGGAGGAGGGCCCAGATCCACCTTGCAAGTTTGCCGGTATCTCCACCCAGGAGTTTTGAACACCTAACGTCATGGGTGCTACAGAAAGCCAACAACACTAGCTTGTGTGTCCACCGTTTGGTTCGATTTGCACGCGTCGGCGTCAATTTGGTATGCGTCCTCCAAATCCGTCTGTTCAACCAATCTGCCCCAAGTCTCAGCGTTTGTGTGACCCTCGTAACAAGCACAGACCTGCGAAACACTGGCGGAAAACTGGTTACAGCGTCTAGCATGATGTGTAAAAGTACTGTGTGGTCTTGTTCCAGCAGCCTACGTAAACCCAGGGTGGCGTCATGTGGGTGTAAGTGAGCCAAACCGCTTGCCTGGGGACGATATGGAAAAAGTCCCACATCGGAAAAAAGCCTAATTACTGAGGCAGTACTTCTTCAACGCTCTTTTCCCGACCCAGGACGCCACACACCCTCTTTTCCCTTCGTCTCTTCAGCGGGAAGGACTTATCAGGACTATAGCTACGCGGAGGTGCCTTCATAGTTGACGGTGGTGGGCTGTAGTGGTGGCGGTGCCGGAAGAGGTCGGCAAATATAAAAAAAAAAATCGAGTAATTCTATTTACGACACCGGTGTCGTAAATAAGAATTACGACACCGGTNAGTAGCTTGGATGATAGCGTAACTCCGCGTAGAGACCTCCAACAGACACAAACAACTTGCGTTGTGGTGCCACGACCCACCGCTATCATCCAAGCTACTTGGAGGGGAATACCAACAGGATACCGACCCCCTACCAAACGGAAATCTTACCAGTCTGCGTGACACCAAATCATCCAGCAGCACATGTATCCATCCCCAATGTTCGCAGACCCACGAACACCCTCCCGGGTTCTTCACGCAAGTGACTAACCATCAATGGGACAAGAACCCCCCTGGATGCATCAGAGAATACCAACGTGGTAATGTATGGAGGGGAAACCCGGCGTCTGGGCAATACCCTTCGAAAAAAACCCTACCACCACAAAAACCGTCGCTATCACAGCGGATCACAACGGCCGCACTTATTAGAAAGGCCAAGGCGAGGACAAGAACGCAAGGAACTACGTTCCCCCGGACGATGGTCCCCCAACGCCCCCTACTCCTGCCATTGGTAGACAGACCGCAACAGTTATGCGCCTTTCCCCGCATGGAAAACATGACCCCTCTCAAGTGCTAGAACTGCTACAGCTATTCCGGCAATTTCATCAACTTGCGTCGGTGGTACTGCAGACTGGCCCTGCAAATGGCCTTCGTTAGGAGGTCCGCGTGTTGCTCCGTTGTCGGAACAGATTTGACTGAAATATCCCCCGACCTAAACAATCCGCGGATGAAATGGAACCTCACGTCGATGTGTTTCGTGAGACCTGAGCCAAGGGGGTTCTGCACCAACGCTATGGCCCCCTGGTTGTCCTCAAGGACCTGGATGCTGCTACCACTGGTCTCTGGGGCAACAAACGAAAGCACCGTACGCACAAACAACGCCTCCTTGACGCCCTCCCCGGCAGCGATGTACTCGGCTTCCGTTGAAGACAAGGACACGATGCTCTGTGTCTTGCTAATATGGCTGACTACGGTACCCTCAACGTCGTCGCCAACCCTGACACCGAACGCTTATCCTTCGTGTTGGCGTAGGTAGCGTCTACGTACACGGCCAGCCCTAACCCCGATCCCCATTGATAGGTGATGCCGAGGTCCCTCGTCCCATTCAGGTAGCCGAGGATCTTCTGGATGGCATCTCAGTGCCTCTTCGCCGGGGCGTGGGCGTGGCGCGCTACCGCACGCACGGCGAACGAGACGTCTGGACGCGAGAACGTCGACACCCACATCATGCTGCCGATGGCCTCCCTCACCGGCCACTCCCCTCCTTCCTCATCCTCTCGCTTCGGTCCTAGGTCGACACCTTGGGAAGCAGGGATGCGGGAGGTCGATTGTACATCAAAGCGTTTCACCATGNGATGGCATCTCAGTGCCTCTTCGCCGGGGCGTGGGCGTGGCGCGCTACCGCACGCACGGCGAACGAGACGTCTGGACGCGAGAAAGTCGACACCCACATCATGCTGCCGATGGCCTCCCTCACCGGCCA